AAATAGATGTATATGGTTAGTGATCACCAGCTTGGATAGTGCTAGTAGATAATGGATTTTTTTCCTTTATTGGGTTATTTCCTACAGATAGAAAAGTAAACCATAATACATCTGGTACCTTTTCTAGTTCTCAGGTCTAAATGTTAGCAGATCCTAACTGTTGTAATGTCTGATTGTAAAGATAATGTATGGATGATTGGATTTCCTTCTGCGATTATACACAACCTGAAATATTTCTTCTTTTTCTTTTTTTTCTTTCCTCATTTACTTATTCAAGATGGTATAATTTCATGCCTGCCTGAGCCCTAGGCTTGTGAACAAATTCTCTGTTCTCTTGAGTCTTACAAATAGTAAATATTTGTAAGAGATGTTTGTACAAATATTGTTATTTAGTATTTACTGTCATTCTCCAGTAGCCCTGCCAATTAAGGATATATTCAATTCTTGTAAATTCTTAGAGTTAAAATTTCTTCATTGCCACTTAGATCTATATTCTAATAGATTAGCATGTTCTTTTTATATTATTCTGCCTGAGAATCTAGCTCTCTTTGTCCATCTCCCTAAATATTGGTATTTACATAAATGCACTGTCTTAGAACCAGGCTTCGGCCAAGCCTGTTCAGATGAGGAAATCAATTGGACCCTAACTCTTCCCTCCCCTGGCCTTTTCTCCCAGCCCTCTGTCTACCTGCTCCTTCTTGCAGAACTTCTTTTGCAAGCTTGCTTGGGCTGCCTGTGTGCTGTCCTTCCAGACAGTCCCGTGCTGGCTGCCCTGGCTGACTGTTCCTGCCCTGGGACTTCATTCATCCTGCAGATGTCAGCTCTCACCTCCCACTTGGGAGGCACTGTCTACCTCCATTCACTGCTCCACACTCTTCCTTTCAAAAATGGTCTAAATCGGAAGGAAATGCACATTCTTTTTGTAAGACATGGCATGTTAAGAACAACATAAATTATGATCAGATAATAATGTAGTACAAAAGATGGATGAATAGTAAAATGATTTTACTCCTACATTGGCAGTTTCTGGTAGAAACATTTGTTATTCAGTACTGTTTCACAGTTGCATAATTCTGTTCTTGTTAGCCAGATTAGCAAGGCAGTATTGCTGAGAATTTTTGTTGAGGCATGAAAGGATTTTGCATATATAAAATCAGGCTTTATTATGGTGCTTGCTAATATGGGATTTTTTGCCGTTTCCTTTGTCATCTAATTGTGCAATAATCATGTCATGTATTCATTTGCTCAATAAATATTTATAGAGCTGCTGTTGTATGAGAAAGATTATGTTTAAAGTGAGGTAAAGGAAACATTTCTTGACTAAAATTTGTAGGCTTCTATTCCCATATCTGTGAGCAGTTTACAGAAGTAGAGTTGAGTATTTCCTCTTTTTTTTTAATTTTAAAAGTCTTGCCACTGTTCACCCTTCATATATCTCTTGGTCATTTTTCTTAAAAAGTTATTTATTTTTGAAATATACTAGGTAATTTGAAATTGAATTCCAAACATAATATGACTATTAATAAAGTACAATAATAAGATATTTATGTAATTTTGATAAGGATTATAAATCTTGGCTATGGCCTAACTAATGGTGACATTGACTTACAGGAGACTGTTTTTTAGCGTGGTAAAGGAAAATACAGTGTGTGTGTGTGTGTAGAATTGGATTAGTCCCAGAATGGCTGATGAGTGCCACTGGGAAGTTGCTTTCTGAACTAAGTTCCATGGGATTTTAATTAGATTTTTTGAAGTTATGTGGGCTTTTGTGGGATCATGTAAGTGATGATTAACTTGTTTGGCTTTCCGGTGATGGGGTGAGGGGAAGAGATCAGGTCCCGTTCTGTCTTTGCCTTCTGTGTGGAAAAGCTGACATCAAGATGACACGGATAAAGCTGTTAGCACAGCATAACTAAGAGATTTGCAGTCTGTGCTATTAATGCTGTTACAGTTGTGACACTTTTCAGCTCTTAGGTCATGTGGACCTTGAACGTCTTCTTTCATGGGAAAAATATGAGCTGAAAGTGATTTTTTTAAAATGAGAATCCTAGGGCCCGGCACGGTGGCGCAGTGGTTAAGGTCCTCACCTTGCACGCCCAGGATCCCATATGGGCGCCGGTTCTGGTCCCAGCAGTCCCGCTTCCCATCCAGCTCCCAGCCTGTGGTCCGGGAAAGCAGTGGAGGATGGCCCAAAGCTTTGGGACCCTGCACCCGCGTGGGAGACCCGGAAGAGGCTCCTAGCTTCGGATTGGCTCAGCTCCAGCCGTTGCGGCCACCTGGGGGAATGAATCATCTGACAGAAGATCTTCCTCTCTGTCTCTCCTCTCTGTATATCCACCTTTCCAATAAAAATAAAATAAATCTTTTTAAAAAAAAAATGAGAATGCTAGAAAAATAATAATTGATTGAATTGACTTTCCTTATCATAGTAAAAAAAAAAAAAGCTAAACAATTTTACATTTGATCTTAGCCAAAAGGTCAAGAAGCAATTAAAGCATTTTTTTAATTGAAAAGGCAGATATACAGAGAGGAGAGACAAAGATTCACCATCCACTGATTCGCTCCCCATGTAGCTGCAACAGCTGGTACTGAGCGATCCGAAGCCAGGAGCTTGTTCTAGGTCTCCCACACGGGTGCAGCATCCCAAGGCTTCGGAGACATCTTCTCCTGCTTTCCCAAGGCACAAACAGGGAGCTGGAAGGGAAGTGGAGCATCCAAGATATGAACCAGCACCCATATGGGATCCCAGCTCATGCAAGGCAAGGACTTTAGCCACTAGGCTATTGTGCTGGGCCCTAAATTTTAAAAAATATTAAGACTCATTTCTAAAAATGATTTAGAACAGTGAAGGTTTTTTTTTTCCCCACCATCTCTGTAATTTGCTATTCTGCTTCATTAACCAACTTTTTTTTTTAGTAACATTTATTTATTTTTTTTTATTTGAAAGGAATACAGAGAGAAAAAAGACAGTGAGAAAGATCTTCATCACTGGTTCATTCCTCAGATAGCTGTATCAGCCAGAGTTGGGCAAGTTTGATTGTCAGGAGTTTCATGCAGGTATCCTAGATGAGTAGCAAGAGCCAAACAACTAGACCATTAGCAGGGAGCTTGATCAGAAGTGCAGCAGCCAGAACATGATCTGGGATCCACATGGGATGCTAGTGTTGCAGACAAAAGCTTTACTTGCTGTGCTACAATGCCTGCTGCACAAACCCAAGGATTTCAGAATTATATTATTTTCTGTAACCCTTAACTTGACTTGGAAAACGTGTCTTATTAAAGTATATTGTTCCTAGGTGAAATACTGCAAACTGTTCTGACACTTCCTGAGAAGATGTCAAATACATTGTTTAGTGTTAAAGAACTGCCATTATTGGGCCCGGCGCGGTGGCGCAAGTGGTTAAGGTCCTCACCTAGCACGCCCGGGATCCCATATGGGCGCCGGTTCTAATCCCGGCAGCCCCGCTTCCCTTCCAGCTCCCTGCCTGTGGCCTGGGAAAGCAGTCGAGGACGGCCCAAAGCTTTGGGACCCTGCACCCGCGTGGGAGACCCGGAAGAGGCTCCTGGCTTCGGATCGGCATAGTATCGGCCCGTCGCGCTCACTTGGGGAGTGAATCATCGGACGGAAGATCTTCCTCTCTGTCTCTCCTCTCTGTATATCCGCCTTTCCAATGAAAAAATAATAAAAATAAATCTTTAAAAAAAAAAAAAAAAAGAACTGCCATTATTTTAAACAATTCAAGGTTAATTAACATATTTAAAGATTCAGTTCTCTAAAAAAATGTTGTTTCCAGTCCAATGATTATCCTTTTGAGTGTTGAATCATAGGAAGTTCTTGTTAATTAAAACTCTTTAAAACCTTTAAACTTTATAATAGGTTAGATTTTTATGTATGCTCTTTATTTTGAAAAAAAAAGGCCAAATCATTTTTCTTTTATGTGAAAGATTAAATAATTGGAAGATAACAATGGCATGGCACTCTGGTGAAATTGGCTTTTCAAATTATTGAATTTGAAAGCAAAGTATGCCACAGGGCAGTTCATAAAGTGCATAAAGTATAAGAGTATGATAAAAAAAAAGAAGTGAGCATTTGTAAAGAAGCTGTCTTTCCCGAAGTGGCGTTTTAGACAATATTTAAATTTAGGTGGAATCCTGCAGTAGTTCAAGACCAGTGCTCTTCCGTGGAACTTTTTGTGGTAATGGAAAGAGTCATTCTTTATATGTGCTAACCAGTAAGAGAGCCACTCTTCACTAGACTTCAAGTACTGACACATTTTTTGTTTAACCTTTGTCTCTTCCTGGGTGAACAGAGAGATTGGACAAAGGAAATAGAGAAGTAGGGGAGGAGAAAGAAAGACAGAGCTTCTATTTACTGATTCCCTCCCCCAGATGCCTGAAACAGTGTGACTGTCCTGGGGCAGAGCAGGAGCCGGAAGCTCAGTTTAAGTCTTCCACATGGTGGCAGGGACCCAACCACTTCAACTATTGTTGCTGGAGCCAGGGATCACACCCAGCCACTCTGATGGGGACGTGGGCTTCTTAACCAGTGTCAGCCGTTAGGCCAGATGTTCAACCTAAAGAGAAGTTTTAAGCAATACTTAATTATTTGTAGTTAATAATTTGAAATAATTATATATAATTAACATATAATTCAGTTCTGTGATCTGTCTCATTTCCCTCCCCTACCCCAGAAATGAAAAGCTGACTAGCTTCCTAGTGTTAGTAGTTAAGGACTGCCTATGCAATATAAAATTCGAAGTAAGTTTTAGAATTACAAGTAGATAAGTTTTATGTTTAGCTTGCAGGCCTTTTTTCTACATCATAAGCACCTATATTTGATGTATTTTTTGGAATACTGTGTTGAGGCTAGGATATCTGTTTCTGAAGTTGCTTGTTTATATTACTAACTCACATTTACTGAGTAAAAATAATTATATATATAAATCTTCAGGTTCTAGCCTACTAGACAAATGTATTAATAACTAATGCCTTTTTTTTAGGTTGCAAATAGAGGAATCTTCCAAACCTGTAAGACTATCACAACAACTGGATAAAGTTGTAACAACCAATTACAAACCTGTTGCTAATCATCAACACAATGTAAGTCTCCTACATGTCTCTCTTCGTTCTATTGAATCTTTATTCTTTCCTATATCATAAATTCTTGGGTTTTGAAAAGACCCCAACAGGCCTACACCTTGCGATCAGGTGCTTGAGTTGTAGAATTTCATCTAGACTTAGTATAGAATTTGACAATTTGCCAAACATATGAGAGATGCTAGCTAGCTATGTATGGTAGATTATGCAATGAAAAAAGACAACTGTTCAAACTGCTTTTGAGAATGTTTTCCAAAGAAAGAAAAAAATTCATTTCTCAATGGTTGCAGTGCTTTAATCATAATATTCTGAGTAAACATTGTTTTACAAGTTTTTTCATTTTTCTATACATTTAGGACCAACTATAGTAGTTTTTACTGGTTGGACCAACAGCACCCACTCACCTACTGATTCACTCCCCGACAAATATTCACAACAGCCAGTGCTGGGCTGGGTAGGAACCAGGTCCTCCACAGGAATGGCAGGGACCAGCACCCTGGCATAACTGCCAGGGTGCCCTTTGGCAAGAAGCTAAAGTCAGGAGCTGGGATTCACACTCAGATTCACATTCAGGTTCTCTGATACAGCTGTGAACAGCAGAGCCTTGTCTTAACCATTGGACCAAATACCCACACTAGACAAAGTTCAAAGTCATGAAACAATAGTAAATTTTTCCATTGATTACTAAGATTGTCTTCATTTTCACAAGCGTTTTTTGTTTTGTTTTTGAGATTTGTCTGTTTGAAAGGCAATGTGACAGAGAGAAAGAGAGATCTTCCACGTGCCATTTCACTCCACAAATGCCTGTGATACCGGGGTTGGGCCAGGCCAAAGCCAGAAGCAAGGAACTCCATCTGTATTTCCCAAGTGGTTGATAGGGACCCGAGTACTTGAGTCATTATCTGCTGCCTTCCCAGCCATGTTAGGAGGAGGTTAGATTGAAAGTGTATGTAGGTGTCCTGGATGGCACCTCCACTCACTTTGCCAAATGGCTACCCCTTTAATGGACAATTTTGTAGTTTCATATTATCATACAAAATAAACACTACCAGTAAGTTTTTAAATCTTTTTATTGAAGTAAATTTTATATATACTTGTTATACAGTGCATAATGTATACATCTATTGTCCATATATACTTTGTACCAGGAACTGTTCTGGGTGCCTCATATAAATTCTGATTTTATCTTCATAATAACCCTATGAATCCTCATTTTACAGAGAAGGTAACTGAGGCACAGTGAACATGGCTGACCTGAGGTGATACAATCCTTAATGAACTGGTCCAAATGTTCAACCGAGGCACTCTTGCTTGGGAAGCCATGCCTCTAACTACAATGTATAGTGTCATTGTCATTAGCGTTGCTAACAGTGCTGAGAGTTTTGGGTGTTATAATACCTGTGATATAAGAGGAGCTCTAATTATTTCCTAAAAGTAAAATGAAGTGTAAGTTTGCTTTCTTAAAAAATGTTTTTAGGGCCAGTCTCAAATGGCTAAACCCTCACCTTGCAAGCACCAGGATCCCATATGGGTGCCAGTTCCTGTACCAGCTGTTCCACTTCCTTCCAGCTCCCTGCTTGTGGCCTGGGAAAGCAAGCAAGTCAAGGACAGCCCAAGGCCTTGGACCCTGTGCCCGCATGGGAGACCCAGAAGAAATTCCTGGCTTTTGTCTTCAGCTCAGCTGTGGTCATTGTGGCCACTTGGGGGATGGGCCAGCAGATGGAACATCTTTCTCTCTGCCTCTCCTTTTTTTAAATAATTGATTTTGCTTTTCTAATAAAAATAAATAAATCTTTTTTTAAAAAATAAATAAATCTTTTCTTAAGCATTTATTTATTTATTTATTTGAAAGACAGTTACAGAGAGGGAGAGGCAGAGAGCGAGAGTTCCTCCATCACTTCCCCTCCCCAAATAACTGCAGCAGTCAAGGCTGGGCCAGGCCAAAGCCAGGAGCTTCATCTGCATCATCCATGTGGTGCAAGAGTCCAAGCACTTGAGCCATCTTTTGCTGCTTTCCCAGGTGCATTTTTTCCAGGTGCATAAAAGGAAGCTGGATCAGAAATGGAATAGCCATGACTCAAACCTGTGCCCATATGGAATGCTGGTGCTGCAAGTAGCAGCTTTCACACAACAGTGCTGGCCCCCACTTTGTTTCTTAAGACCATGCAAACTTCTGTGTAGCAACCTACAATAGTAAGATAAGTGCTCAAAAGATTTCTATACAATAAAATGTTTCCCTCTGTTGTGTAAAATAGGAAAAGATTGGAAAAAAATGTCTAAAATTGAGGTGTGGGTGGAACATTTCAAGTCATTATTTATTGATAGTAGACTCTAGAGTGATTTTCCCTAATTTTTCTTTTGAGTTGTTGGAATTATCTGATTGCACATTTATCTGTCTGAGTTGTAGCAGAACAGTAATGCTCTTCTGTTGATGGAAAGGGGAAGAAAGCCAGGGAGGAACCAGCTGTGATAGTAACCTACAGCTGTTGTCTTCAGAATTCCATTCTTTTAGCAACAGATGCTTTTTAAATGCCTGCTTTGTGAGATTAGTAACCAAACCGTTAAAATCCCTTTCTTCAAGGAGCTGCCACTTCTTTCATTCTTTGGTGTTGTGCCTTTTCTGATCTTGGTAGAGAAATGACTTGTATTTCCTTTAAAGGTGGGCAAGGGTTTTTTTATTCCAGATTCTTGTTGTGTATGAAGAATTCTTATTGCTGGCATATATAAATTACGTTTTATTTAAAAGATGAGGAAGTGGGGCCCAGCAGTGTGGCCTAGCGGCTAAAATCCTCGCCTTGAATGTGCCTGGATCCCATATGGGCGCCGGTTCTAATCCCGGCAGCTCCACTTCCCATCCAGCTCCCTGCTTGTGGCCTGGGAAAGCAGTCGAGGATGGCCCAAAGCCTTGGGACCCTGCACCCCTGTGGGATACCTGGAAGAAGTTCCTGGATCCTGGCTTCGGATCGGCACAGCACCGGCCATTGCGCTCACTTGGGGAGTGAATCATTGGATGGAAGATCTTCCTCTCTGTCTCTCCTCCTCTCTGTATATCTGACTTTCCAATAAATAAATAAATCTTAAAAAAAAAATGGGTAGTAGCAGCAATTGTAGAACATGGAGGAATTGGTCATTGGGTGCTCACATTTTCATCTCATTAAGTTGGCATTAAATTCATAGATTTAGAGATCGCATGATCTATTAACTCAGTCTCCAAGAATGAGCAGATGATTTTTAAAAATCATTTAAAAGATTTAGTAAGTAAGCTGTAAAAAATTACTACAAAGAAGCTGTGAATTATAGATAACGCTAATAAAAAATATAGATGTGAACAAGGTAGTCAAAAATTTGACACTTTTTATTGGTCTGTCAAGTAGAAGGATGATGTGATCAGACCTGATAAGAACTTGGCTCTCACAGAAAGGATATTATCAATATTACTTTAAATACGGCTTGTCATTCCCTGTTTTGATGATGAGGCCGTTGCCTATCACAGAACCAAAACAATTCTAGATATTTGAGAAAAGGTTTAATGTAGGGTTTGGTTACATGACTTGAGAATGCAAAATGGAAGGACTGGAGTGCACAAGGGAGAAGAATATTGGTGACTGGAGGTCGGGGCTGCTACAGGAGCTCCTGCCATTAAATAGACAAACTTTCCCTTCTTCCTGCTTTCCTTCCACTCAGTGAAAATTAGTTAGCAATGGGATCTTAGAAATGTGGCCCACAGGGCCCAGCTCAATGATTTAAATGCCTGATCCTCCCCTTGGTAAGTACCCGGATCCCCATGTGGACTGCAGACCCTATGCTAAAGACTAGTTGCAGATAACTGGCATTAGTAACCTTTGACCTTTGTGGTTGTTCTGCCTTATGACATATTAGCCATTGGTGTTTGCAACACATTTAAAAATGAAGCATCTCTTAGGGCTGACACCCTTACACATAGTAGGCTAAACCTCCATCTGCAAGCTCAGGCATCCCTTGTGGGCACCACTTCACATCCAAGCTACTCAACTTCCCAACCAGCCCCCTGCATATGGCCTGGGAAAACAATGGAGGATGACTCAAAGCCTTGGGACCCTGCACCCATGTGAGAGACCAGGAATTGCTCCTGACTTCTAATCAGCTCAGTTCTGGCTGTTATGGTCACTTGCAAAATGAACCAACAGATGGAAGCTCTCTCACTCTGGCTCTCCTCTCTGTATATCTACCTCTCAATAAAAAGAACTAATTTTTTAGATAAATGAAGCATCCAGAGCATGAACTCGCTATGGTTGCTTTTTTTTTATCAGAAATTCACAAAGAACTAACAAAACTTAGCTAGAAAGCAACAGTTTGAAGAAATTAAAATAAAATTACTACGTAAAATTTTGAGGTAAAGAAAAGCTATTTTTATAAATAAGTTTTGAATGTTTTTGATTGAAGTCAATTCCTGCAGGACTATAGCATAAAGGTTTTTCTGCAGTGCTTGTGTTACAGAGTGTGAGAGAGATCACACCGGACCCAGATGTAGGATGTTAGAAGGAGTCTTTACTGCCCAAGCCTGGGGACAGCAGCTCCCGCTACACTCCAGGAACTATTGCACTGCATGGCAGAAGCCAGGGGTTTTTATGCTCTCGCCCTCCAATTAGTTTGAAAGGTACACAGTACAACGTTTTAGCAGGAAGGAGGAAGGGAAGATCAGGAGACGTAGGCCGCACCTTCAGGAACTCTTTGTGAGTACACAATTAGCTTTACTGACTCCACCAAGCTGTGAACAGTGGGGGACATAGCCATATTCCATTTGCCCAATGTCAAGGGGTGCTGGCAATCCAGACTGCACCCCATAATACTTGTGTATTGAGTAAACTTGTACTGCATATGGCTTTGTCCATTTGAATTCACACACCGAGGAATGGTCAGTGCTAAAGAATTAATTTCTTCCCAAGAGAGAATGACACACTAAGCTGAAACAGAAGCATTGGTTGAAGACACAGGGAAATCATCTTTCCTAACAATTTAGAATG